TCTAAATTAATTTCTTCTTATTTCTGTAGCTTTTAGCTGACAATGAACATATAGGGCTTTTGTTGTAAATTCGATAACTTTGCAAAGAAAGGTCATGTAGAGTTGGCAGAGGTCTCATTTTAACCTGAAACCTGCGGGCTACAATCATGCCTCATTAAGAACGGTTCGGGTTATTTTTTGGGGTTTCTGAAAAACTCGTTTTCTAGAAAACCAGGTCTTCGAAGGGCTATGCGGAAGCCGCATTCGTATTCGTAATTAGCATGGTCGATAACCTATAACCCACTAGATTCCGAGCAAAAAGCGTTTAATCACTTCGTGGGGTTCCCTCGTCAGATCCAAAATAGCTTATACAGATAAAAATGTAGAATTGAAGGGCTACAAAATGACCTATAACACATTGTTTTAAAAGTTTGTCTAACTAACTGACTGTGGATAAGTTTTAATAACAAAGGTTGTCATAAGTGTTTGAATAATTATGATTCAGTTTTGAAAATTACGAATAAACATAAAACAGACGTTTGAAGAAATAAAATAAAATAATAAATTGACTGATACGGTAGAAATAAAGAGCCAATAAAAATCATTTTTCGTTGCGCTTTGCCCAGTAACTTTTCGGAACAAAACGGAAGTAAAATTGATGAAGGTTAAACACAAAAATATTTTTTTAAAGAAAACGTTAACATTATTTTCTATAAATGATGCATTTTTCTTAACTGAAAAAAAGTGAATACCTTTCAACGTAAAATTATTCACATATAACATATTACTATGTGGTTTTGTACATTAATTTATTATACAATGACACAGAACTTGATCAAGTCTCTTCTCATCAGAGGCCTGCTAGTCGCTATTGTGATGTGAGTATTGATCTATTGTTGTTGGAAACAGCATTTTACAATTGTATTATTCATTTTTAGACTTTCATGTGGTGCATCGACTAATACTGCTTCATGTACTAAGAAACCAAATGCATGGGCAGAAAAACAATGTTATTCGGTAGGATTTTGTTTGTGTTATGAACTCATTTTTCCACTTGTACACTTTTCAGTTAATAAATCTGTTTCCTTCAAATCCACTGTTACCATGTATAAAAAGCATTGGTAGTACAGCAATAATGGCACAATTTTATAGTGATTGTTTAGAAACTGCGTGCAAGTATGTTGAGTAGACTCACTTGATTTCTCACCTCTCATAATATCTTCAGTTGTCAACCTACATCCATCTGTCAACCATTATCGCCATTTATGGCTGCATGTGCTTCGTTAAACGCTCCAATCCGTACGTTAGACCTATTTCTTTCATTTCTTTACTAAACTTTAATTGCTCTCACTTTCAGCCGGACATGAAAGTGTTTTACGAACCCGCCGTGATATAGGTAAGTATTTGACAACTATCTAAAAGTCGAGAATATTTTAACTTTTTTTAAAAACGTACAAGCAATCCCATCTGGTAGTCAATGTTCTCCTAAAAATTGTGATAACCGCTTACCATGTTCATCAAATCCTGACTGTGAATGTTTTCAACTGACAACCGGTGGAGGAATGTGTGCTGATGCACTTTTATCTTGTACCAATCTTCGTTCATGTAATCAAGATAATGTCACATGTTCTGTTCCAAATACTGTCTGTATAAAGAACAGTAGATGTGGTACATTCATTTGTTATCCGACACCACTAGCCTATCAACTAATTTGTCCATCACTAAATCAATCTTCCTCTTCCACAATTAAAGGTATTTTTTATTGATTTTCTCTAAAATGAAATTTGAAAGGAAAACGATCATTTTCTAAACAAAAGCCCCGGTTACGACTTCAATAAGATTTGTAACAAGCACCACACGGGTGACAACCGCTCGTCCTACGACTAATTTTATAACATCTACTCGAGTTAAGAATACTACAAGTAATTATGAAGAAACTTAATCAATAAATTTTTATGTTTTAATAACTTTACAGCATCCATGAAAAGTACAACTACTGTTAAAAAGTTAACCACATCACCAACAACAGGTAATGAAAGTTCAGGAGTTCATTTTGATGTATCTCTTTCACAATATGTTTTTAGTTCGATTAAGAACAACAATTGCTTCTACAACGACCAAACCAACTACAGTTGCCACTCGATCAAGTAAAACAAGTTTATTTTGAACAAAACGAATAGTTTCTCTAATTTTTATTTTTTGAATGAAGGTACAACATTAAGTACACAAAAAATATATTCTACTACGAGACAGACAACAATATCGACAGTCTCAAGTAATTAAAGTTTTACCCTTTATAATATTATTCGTTTAAGATTCTATTTGAATGAATCAAAAGAAGCCGGTGGTATTATAAAAAAATATAATTTTGTTTAATATGAAATTTTAGAGGAAGAAGCACAGAATAATAGCTCTATAGGATTTCTCTAAAAATAATTGACACCTTCGATATTTCAGTTATAACTTTTTCTGAGTAAAAATTAAAAACTATGTTCACTAAAGTTATACAATTTTTCAACTTCATTAAAGAATAGATCTTCGAGAATAAGAAAGAATTGTATTTTTTAAAGAATAATAGAATTATAGACACCGATCTGAACATTGTTTATCAGAGACGTTTCGTGAAACAGTTTTCACATCATCAGTCAAAATGTACAATAAGCAAACAAGTCTAAACTAACTGTAGTAAGGATAAAACAATGTGTGACAGAACACAACAAGTAAAATAAATTTATTTTAATAAATTTTCAAATTTCCTTTTTCCTCCGAAAATGTGTGTCTTTTAATGTTGATCAAAAGACATTAGAAATAAATATCTTTTGTGCAGGGCTGAGCAACTCCTACTCCGGAGTTGAGGATTTTTTGGATGGAATTGGAGTTGAAATTTTAATAGGTTGAAGTTCGGTTTTTGAATTCTTATTCTCAATTCCGTTTTGCATTTTTGGAAATATTCAATAGTTGTAAACCGATCTTCTAAACGATTGAGTGGCTGTATTCACGAGTGAATTCGGAAGTTCTTTCCGCTTTCCTGCTGGAAAAAGGTCAAAAACGTCCAGAATCCTGTTAAAAACCGAAAAATCTTCCTTACAAAAATGAAGCAACCGGAGTTGAACGGAAGTTTAGATTTTTGTTGAGAGAGTTGGAGTTGAAAGTCAGTGGAGTTGCCCAGCCCTGTTTTTGTGAATAAAAGTCTTTGCCTTTTTTTAATCGAACCAGATCCATGAGTAAACCTTCTTTTATTGTTCTTATTGTATAATTTGCTTCAATTGTAATAATACTATTAGTCCAGTTTTTTTCATGATTCAAAGTCATACAATGTTCAGCTATTCTTGAATACCCATGTCCTCGAAAAGCTTTTTTGTGTTCTTCTTTTCTTGTTTCTACACTGCGGACAGTTTGTCCGATATAGATGCCGTTACAGTTTTTATAATCATATTGACAGATCACCTTTTTCATATCCTTTTGTTTACGAAATGTTGTACTAAATAACGTTGAGATGCACGTTCTAGCAACATAGCCGCAGACAATTTTTGTTTCAAAGGATGGTCTAATATTTTCTTAATCTTATTTGCTAGAATCAAGGAATATTCACCATAATATGGCATTGAAATGAACGCTTTTTTAATACTTGGATTCACTGACTGTTTGACAATGTTTTAGCGTAACTGAATACCCCTTACAGTTTTTTTTATGACATTGATTGATTAACCATTACCTGTAAATATTCTCTTATAATACTCTAATTGTTGTATCAGTAATGCATCCGATGAACAAATACGTTTTGCACGTATACATCGATATTTTATTAAATTTATTTTATAATTACGAGCTTGGTTGCTAGTCTATCGTATGTATAACCCGGTATCAGTCGGCTACCGACAGACGTACGTTATTAACTCTGCGTTAGTTCTTTCTAGCATGACATCTAAAAACGATACTTTGTTATTGTTTTGCATTTTGATCTTAAATTTTATTGAAGATTTATCCTTACTACAGCTAGTTTAGACTTGTTTTGCTGCTTATTGTACATTTTGACTGATGATGTACAAAGTGCTTCACGAAACTTCTCTAATAAATAATGTTTTAAATCGGTGTTTATAACTGTATTATTCTTTATAAAATGTATTCACCGTATAATTAAAAAGCGGAGCGATTCAACAGTATTTTTACAGAAAAATAGCTTTAGTTTAGAAAAGTCAAAAACATTCCTCCACTTCTTAACCGAAAAGAAATAAAGAATTTAGTAAAATCTTTCATACTGGTAATGAGTGTTTTAAAAAGAATGGAGATCCTATAATTAAAATCTTTTTAGATCATCCTACATCTGCTCGTTTATATGATACATCACATTTTGATAATTCTACTGGTAAGGTTAATATAGATTAAGATCTCTTTATATACTCGTACTATATATCTGATGCATAGTGCTTCTTCAAACTACACCTTCGGACAATAATTTGGTGACATCAACAATGTCCTCTCTACAGATTACTGACAATTATACGACAACAGGTAAAATACAATAGACTATTGTACTTTTTTTTATCAATTCTTTATACTTCATTAGTTCCAATTCCATCCTCTGCTCAGTGTAGTGGATTAGTGTGTTATAATTTTGTTCCTACATGTTCACCAATAAATTCAGCCTGTTATTGTTTTACATTGGCACAAGGTGACGGGTTTTGTGCAGAATCAGACTCCTGTTCTGTATTTTCGACATGTGATTCAAACAATCAGTGCTTGTCTTATCCAAATACTGTTTGTGTTATTAATAGTTGTTGTGGTTATCCAATATGTTATAACCTTTCCTATGCTGCTCTATGTCCAACAGGAAATGATAATAATAATCAAGGAATATCTACAATTACAAGTATGTATACTTGCAAGTAAATCTTTTCTTAATGGTAAATTTTGCATTCAGTAACATCAACAAGCACTACTACAACTGGTTTTCCTACGACAGGTAAGATTTCTATAATATAACCCGATAAAAACTGATCGATTTTCTAATAGAGTCTACAACAAGTACAAACTCATATTTAACAAATGAGATAGGTAATTATAAGCATGTTATCTTATTTAAACTTAATTAGTTTTTATTATAGCTGACGAATGCTCAGTTGAGGGTGATAATTATACATCAAATTTATGTGATACGAATGAAGTGGCATTTAATAACAGGTGCTACTATCTTGATGGAACAACAGGAACATGTTTAGATGGTTATAGTTTAGCGCCTGAAGTCGTTCTCAGATGTATTGCATCACGGTTTGTTGGATTAAATTATAAGACAACTCAGTCAAATAACTGTTGTATTTGGACAAGTGATGTTTATGAGAATTATGGATTTAATAGAGGTTGTAATCAACCAGGGCCATTTACAGATCCTCCAGTACTAGGAGGTGCATCTTGTTTAGCACAAGAAAATCATTTCCAACTACAGCTGACTTTCTGCGGAAGATAAACTATACAATTTGACAAAACTATTCTCAGTTCAATCAAAATATCAATTGCTTATAAGTTAACTACAAGAAAATACATTGTTTTGCAATTACGCCATTACTAACTTTTAATTTTTGTTTTTACTTTCTTTTTAATAAATTATAAAATAAAAGTATAAACCAGAAACAGCTGATACAGTAAAACAATTTCAGGATTATCTTACTGTTCTACCTACACAGACCAGGAAAACCATTCAATCGATAATGTAGAGGTGTCTTTTGGACTTTATGTTAGCGGAAAAAACGTTTAATTTCATAATCAATTCTAACACTTCTACAGACTCTATCCCACTCTATACTTTATCAACTCCTCACAGCACCTTCATTCACAACTGCAAACGTCTATTTTTGTTTCTAAGTGTCTGTCGTTTGTTGTCAATGCCGGTGAAACCGTGAGTTAAAGAAAAGAACATGCAAAAAACTTCAAATGAATGAGAACAAGGCTGGAATCGTATTAATTTTTAATCATATAATATTAATTCTACTTTGTATACATACGAACAATGTTAAAGATATGTTGAACAGCTAAACATTTCGACGTATCTTCATCCGGAGCATGAAACTATATAAAATTAAAATTAACTGTGAGGAAAATTTCTGCGACACGTATGTAGTTAGATGTCAAATCTACAGTTGTGGCTCAAAACGTACAACTTCTATACTTCTATATTTGCTCTTTTCACCTTGTGTTCTATGTTACTATATTTTTCGTCGTCCTAAGGTTTTTAACATCAAAGTGAATTTCGATTTTCTTCTTTGTCATATTACGTCGGATACTCTATATAGCAAATATAGAAGTACAGAATGTGTTCGTTTTGACCCATAACTGTAGATTCGACATCTAACCACATACGTGTGAGCATCACCTTCACTCACAGTTAATTTTAGTTTCATGCTCCGGATGAAGACGTTAGTGTAAGTCAAAAGGTTTAGCTGTTAAACAGATCTTTAACATTGTACGCATACAAAGTAGAATTAATATTCTATTACCAACAGTTTGTTCTATATTTGTATCTAAGTGATACAT